CCCTTCCAATCTCTAACATTCTGTGAAGTTCTGTTCCCATTTGACACTTGCCTCCCTGCCCTGCATCCCCCTGCCCAGTGCCAAATACAGGAACTCATTTTGGCTGGTCTAAACTCAGGAGGAAAACTTAGATATGAAAGTATATTTGTGAAGCAAATGCATGCTTTATCTGACATGCTCTCAGGTATACTACCTAAATGGACTGCTATCAGACAGAACTGGAATACAGCCTGCAAAAATGACACTGGTAGACCAGCATGACTCAAAAGGTCTGGTGACAGGCTAAGTGGCACAATCTAACATGGCACAAAGCCTTACATTCTGACATTTTAAGGCTGCAGTCTGCAGTGCATCTAAGTGCGTAGGTTCACACAATTCAGCTACCTCTAGCTACAAATGGCATACTACATGGATAACATTCAGAAGGCAATCAGGTTAAATGAACAGTTGCACACTTTCCCTCAGAAACATGTTCAGCTTACATGCAGCGCACAAACACCAGATTTACCTGCCACGGACATTCGCCAAGAAGACACTCATCACCACCTACTATCCTGGTAATGACATATGGAGTCTTGCTACTTGTTCCATTGCCAGGACGGGCGGTTGGGCTTTCTGTGGTAGTAACGATGTCCTCCTCCAAACTTGTTCCATTTGTGGGAGGGACATCCTCATGACTAGTTACACTGCTGTTACCAGCACGTAAAATATCTTCATCACTAGTTACATTGCTATTATCAGCAGATAAAATAACCGACCTTTTTTTTCTTTTCACAAAAACTCTTCCACAAGGATATTTTACTGTAAAGACAAGGATGTTAAAATTAGAGATGGACAGAAATACCAGCACAAGAGGAAACTCCTTGACAACACCATCTCACAATAAATCAGTTAATGCAGCTGTCCTGTTTTCAAAACACTAGCAAAACTTGCTTGTTGGCAGATGCAACAAAGGAGAAAGACCAGATGGTCTGAAAAATGAAAGCCATGTTGTAGTCCTAAAACTTGTCCATAGGTTCAGTCTCCAGACAGTGTTTTCAAAGTATTTAAAATTTAAAACACCATCTTCAACTGTTTACATTGCTATATTCATGTACTTGCTCTTACTAAAACCATCTTAATTAGGAAACTGAGTGTTTTGTTTTAGGAATAACATGGCTCATGACAGCAACTTATTATCAGATACAAAGGATATAAAAACCAACATAATGAGTATACGGTTGACTTATCCCTCCCCCCAGCTTTGTTGAAACACAACAAAAATATACAAATATAAATAGCATGATCATAATTATTTAATGTCATCAGTTACTATTTTATTAGGTTAATTGAAACCTAAAGTAGAAAAGTTTTGGTGAGCTGCTGTTTTGTACAGAGTGTAAGTGTTTAAGTAAATAAGATATAACTGCAATCGCTTTTTTCCTGTCAATAGCGGAGTTTACTCAGGTAATTCAGTGAGAGGCACCTTGCAAAGGGTTCCAAATCAGCTAGATTTTGGTAAGTCTATCACATGCCCTCATGCATGGAAGGCTTTGGAAATACAAACCAGTTGGCCTCAGTGTTAAATCTATGTCATGTAGAATACTGATAGTTGAAAAGACATTCTTTAACTGTGAATCAAGTCTCACCACCATTGCTATTTGTTTAGTACATAGATTCATACCTGATGAAACACAGCGTTTGCCATCCTCTGCTAGAACATACCCTTTTGCACAAGAACACAAAACATCCTTCTGTGCACTTTTTTTGATGCTGCAGAACTGCTCACAGTCACCATTGTTTATTTTGCAGTACTTTGGTATGACTATAAAAGAGAGAAGTTTGGAGAAAAACTGTAAATAAGCAGTGACTTCACAGCAGATCCAAAGCTCACCAAACTAAACTGTGTTCTTTAAACGTACAGATCTGTATCTTCACCTGTAAAACACCTGAAGCACATCTTAGTGACAACATGAGTGGCTAACATTAGCTTATGCCTTACAAAGCAGTCCCATCCAATGCATGAAAGATACTTGCCAAGTCCAAGTGGGCCCAGTGGCCATGTCATGGTGAGCTTAAAAAAAAAAAAAGACAGAATGACAGTGGAAAAATGAATAAAACAATATCAGAGGAATCCAGATATTGGTAAATCCTCACACGATTCCTCCCTCCTGCCTTAAAAATCTCAACTCCTCCTCATTCCCCTCAGTCCTGTGTCTCAACTTCAATTCCACACCCTCCACTCTTTAATTCTTGGTTACCGATACACGTTCCAGTGACAGCAGTAGGGTAACAGCTCTATGCCACAGAAGAGACTCAGGAAGGATTTATATGCAAAAAATGATTCCTTGCAAAACTGAAAAAGTCTCTGCATCGTCTACTGAAATCTGCCTTCTTTGGTTCTTCATTGCTGTGAGCTGAACAGGGAGGCTGTACTTCTGAGCTTGGAATAAAGGCTCTTTGATATCAGTTATAAGAATCCTATTAGGTTTCTTAGTTTCATCATCATGTTTTGGCGATTCAAGCTCATGTAAAGAGGCACAATCAGGGCATTCTTTGGAGCAAGTGTAACTTTGCAGCATTCACTAACACTATCCAGCTGTAGAGCCACCAGGGCTTTGTGTTTCTGGTACTGTCCTCCAACCATTGTTGACTGCCATCCTATTCTATGCATTTTTCAAAGAGGCAACTAATGCTTGTTAAGAAAGAGTTAACTTTCTATCTTTCAGCTCCCTGGGAAATTCACTGCCATAGTTCTCTAAAGCAGAAACTTACCAAATTCACAGTTCTTGCCTTGATAACCATCCAAGCACGAGCAAGTGTAGGAACCAATTCCATCTTTACAGTGTCCACCATAGTGACAAGGATTTGAGCTGCACTGGTTCCCATCTACAAAAAAACCAAACCAAAACCCAAATTATTGTAAGAGTGTAAGCATTTTCAGTGAACTCTGAAGGGGTCTTAGTTTTAATAAGCAACCTTTCATCTTTCCTTCTAAAATGTATGTCCTGTGAGTTGCCACATTCCAGATGGAATGTAATTGCAATCATTCCAAACCAGCGATGATTCATATACACAGCTGTTTTGACAACAGCCTCAGTTGTGCAATGTTTTTGGTGGCTACTCCATGACTATGCATATGCAACCCTTTTTTTGTAGGAAGATAAGGTAACAGATCATGGTCAGAGTATACATAATTTACCGTGAAGGCTGGAAAAGCAGACAGCAACTACTGTTGAAAGATATTAACTTTTTGGTTTTTCCTACAATTTCCGCATAATAATGACAACTCAACTTTTCTTTCTTTAAAGGTCATCTCATCCCTTGTGCATGTCTTTTGCCTGCAGTGTTGTTCATTTATAGAAACAGACACCAGCATACTAATCTGAAGATAAACAAAACAAAATGCTTTACAAAGCCCTGCTTGATTCATGTGTGCAGGCCAAATTCCTGTTTTGTGCTGCTTACGGTATGAAAATTGGCCCATTGTATCCATTGAAGTATGAGGTTCAGCTTCAAAAAACTAGCTCTTACCTCATGCTCCCCACATCTACACTGAGATCTCTCATATATGAAAGGCATTTCTGCAGCCTTTCTTCCTGTCCATGATCTGGACACAACTGGCTAACCTGACTGCAGCTACACGTATCTCACAAACTCAGTTACACACAGGACAGTGAGGCTGTGCGGCGTTTGGAGGCATGTTCCATGTAGCAGCCCGTTCTCCCACCCCACAAAGGTATCTCACTCCCGCACTGATGCTCGCTGCCACCATCATCCCATCCAGCGACCTGCTGTAACAAATGTGTTCCCCCATCACAGGACCTTGAGAGGCTCTTCTGCACCGTTTGATAAGAAAAGCAGAATACCCCAAGAAGTGACACTTGCTTAATAACTCATGGCTTTAGATAATACACTCTTCACATTTCTGTTCTATCACCTGTTCTGCCCATTTGGAGCAGCTGGAAGAACAGCAATGCCCACAGAGGAGGCAAGATGCAAGAAGCAGCTCATCCTGAGGATCCAGCTTGCCATCTGCACGGCGGCTCTGGCCTGAGACCTCATCCGCTGCAGGTTTATCTGCTACAGGGAACATCTGCTGGGCTTTGTGTACTGCCGCCACGCCTCAACATCCCCTCTGTACCTGCACATGGCCAAAACCAACAGCGCCGCAAGCGCTGCATCGGTGTGGTCCACCACAGAGGCGTTGAGGACTGATGTCCACCCTCAACAGAGGGAAGGCCAGACCCCTATTTAGCAAAATAAAGGCAGACTCGAGGCCTGCAGCACAGCTCCTAGTTTCTGCCTCCTTTGCAGTGCCAGAGCACTCCATTCTGCAGCAGTCTTAGCTAAGCAGCACCCTACTGTTACAAACAGTTCCTACACTGTATTTGCTGCTGGGGTGATGAGTTTTATATCAATATTGCACAAAAGCATTGCAGAATCCCCTACTAAAAAAGGAAGGAGGAATGAATTGTTCTAGTAACTTGGCTGAGGGTAGCTGTGGTTTTCAATACTTCTGAACACCATTAAAGCATTCATGGACTGTGGTTTAAAATGTATGAAATTGGCATTTCCTCTAAGAGCACTGGCACTGATGTTTCCCTGCTTGCATTTTTATGAGAAAATGGTTTAAAATTTTCCACTTCTGTTCGCTGCAACACTGATGCAGGCTTTGCTTGAAATTTCAGCCTGTAGGTTGCAGAGTTCATCCCCTGCTTAGAGCATTGTGAAAGTCTGCATCTTCTTTGTGGCAACTGTCTTCAATTTTCCGCAGACTCCAAAAGACAAAGCTGAGCTGCCTTCGGTCAACATTTTTGAGGTACACTTCCTAACACACAAACTGGACACATACTTCCAGAAGAATATGTTACCAAACACTAATACATTAAAAATCTGTCCCTGCATAGTGATTATAAACACTAGAACCCTAATAAATACAACTCAGACCTTTAGAAAAAAACAGAAAAGACTGATTGGTAGTATCTGATAATCTGCTGGCATGTCTTCTTTGAATGTCAAACAGTTCTGTAGAAAACACACCCCACAAAATCCTCTGTAATACAGGAATCAACAACACCTGGCATGGAAGGTGACACAGAACTGGCAAAGGCCTGTGCGATCCGGTTTAATAACTTTGTGTTGGCTACGGCATGTAAGCGCCACCCTCATCTATGACTCTTTGCATCTTGAATTCCCCCATCCAGGGCTGCCCCTCTGGAGGACAAGTGAGTGGCAGAGTCCCATGCCCAGTTTCTACTTCTCACTGTCCTTTACATGCAAAGGGCTGCTATTCTTTTTTTTGAGAGGACAAAGATCATCCCAGCAACTGGAGGCACTGAACCTTGCCTTCAAATGAAGCTACGGGGTTCAAGCAACAGCAAGGCAGTAAATCAGATTCCTTCTTCAGAGGAGACACAAAGTGAGGGTGCTCCAGTGAAAAGAGAGGAAGCAAGGCAGCAGGAAGTGGTTACTTACGAGGTGCATCCTTTTTAACCTTGCAATAAGGAAGCTTAATTGTCTAAACAAACACAGAGTGTTTCTTACCTACATAGACGTTCCAGAATTCCTCCTGCAGGTAGGTGTGGAAAAAGGGGAATAGAAGGACACAGAAAGTGTTAGATGAGAATTACTGAATTCCTCAGAAAAATATTAGAGCTTTCATACAGAGGATACTCGCAGCTAACAATTGTTAAAACAAATATTTCAGTTACAGGCACATACAGTGCCTTGCAGCCTAGTATTACCATTAAATAAATCAAAACCATACGATCCATCTACAGTGCCCAATTCTACAGAAACAAGTCTCATGCATTTTTCAGAAATTTAAAACTCCTTAGAGATTTCCCAGTGTGACTCACTAAGGAAGGATAAGGCACTTGATTTCTTGCGTAACTGTATCTTTCCATCAGTTTTGACTAAATTTACTTACATTCCTGTAATGCCAAATTCTCAGTCTCCATCCCCCCTATCATCCCATCAATCAGGACCTCAGAAATCCTGAGATTTAAAAATATTTTGCCTGATTTGTGTTCTTCTTTCCCTCTGCACTGAGGACTCCAGGTATGCTGTCTGTCCATCCTTTTCAATGGCATCTGGTCACCAGGCGGAACAGGCTGTGCTGGTTCTGCTACAGATCAGCCAGCCTTTATGCTCTGAAGTACCGTGGTGATGCACCCACGACTCCCCACCCAGGTCATCTCAGGCCCACTCCAAGAACATTCTGGCCATCAAGTAATGCTAAAGCGAAATGAATCTGGCCTTAACTCCAGTTTCAGGGCTGTTCTTAACAGCCATATGGCTACAGTCCATGTTCCCAAGACCCCTCCACCACCAGGTCACTTCAAGTTTTCAAATAGCATATTTTCTACTGACCCCAGTCCCCATAGTTACCCCATCTGTTTAACTCTCCCTGAGCTTGGGAACAGATCATGTTTCTGTCTAAAGTTAAGCAGCCTTCAGGGTAGGGCAGGTGACACAAGAGTCACACATACAAACTTCTTTGCACGTGGGCAATTTAATTAAGGCATATAAGAACTGTCCACAGTATACATTCTGTAAATTCAGATACTGAAAAAATGAGACACAAAATGACAAGCCCCGCAAAGCTGCCTAAGTTCAGCAAAATTCTCCCCTGAAGCTCCATTTCAGCATTTGCCTTCTCAACCTTCCTGTGGACTCTCCACCTAAGAACTCTTGACCGTAGTCATGACACTCTGCTATGCCACCCAGATAGGGTGAACATATTTCCAACACGGGTAGTATCAAAGCACTTAAACATCAAATACCTCACAATGCAATTAAACAGATCAGAACAGGTAAAAGAATGGAGGCTTTAACATGGGCTGGCCATGCAAGAGCTAAATTAAGACTGTTGTCCTATGTTTATGCCTTAGCAATTCCAATCACAGTCAAAACCACTATTTGTTCTTTGTGTTAAAGGATTGGGAGCAACTTGTAGTTTTGATGCCCAGCTCAAAAGACACTAATACTATTTTATAAACATGAAATAGGTAGACCTATGTTTCATATTAGTTCATCCTTACAGTTTTTTCCTGGTCTTCAAAGGCTTCTCTTGCTTCTTCTTTTGAGCAGCGTTCCTCATTGCATTCTCTTTCAATATTGCCTTTCTTAAGTTCCTCCAAAAAAGAGTTTGCACGTTTTGTTCTTTCCAAGAACTTGTCTGCATTTTCTTTCTTGATGAATACTAGAGAATGGAGAAAATGATACAGGTGGCAAGTAACATTTGGCGGTGGTAAAGAGTCTTTAGAAATAAGTGAAGTAGAAGCAAAACCAAAATGGACCCCTTCACCACTCTACCCATACACAACATTACCTGTGAGGTTAGTCCTCACACAGACTGATACCTCTCAGGATCCCTCAGAGCAGTCTCTCTCTGAGAATCAGCAACTCCAGGACAAACTGTAGGCCCCCAAAATTCTCTTAGTCTTGAAAATAAAAACATGCAGGTTGCCACTGACGGCTTATATTTCTGTTGCTTCTGCTCAAGACTTCAGTCTTGAACAGAATGACTTTCCCTGAAGGCCAGGAAGACTGCATTTCTTGATTTGGTTTTAAAGGTGACCACCAGACAACAACGTCTGCTCCAGGGGTTTGTGGTGCAGAAACTAAATGCCGCACAAACTCAAGATGCAGTAACATGTCTACTGACAGATGGGAAAAACCCATGTATGAGTTCTACTGCCCTTCACCACCCCAAATCCCGCTGTGCTGTCCTGCGGTCTTCCCTCCTTCCCAACACCGCCTCCCACTTGCCTGTAGAAATGTTCCTGCCTTACTGATGTAAGTGCAGGTAGAGCTAAGGCAACTGTGTTTTAAGATTTAAAACAAACATCAGCTTTAGCAGGAAAGTACAACCTGAGATCAGTTCGCTGTGTTGTTTTATTTTTTAAAAGCGTGGTGTCACAGAAGTGTGAGACCTGCTGCCTTCAAGTTCAAGATGCAGGTAGGCGTTGATTTAAGCTGAAGGATCAGAGGCATTAAACTCAGCTCAGCCACTTGGCTGCATGAGCAATACTGTTACTCTCCAGTGACTTGTGCACACATTATCAAACAAGAAAAACAGAAACAACACTGGAGTAAAACCATTGCCTATTACCCTGTAAAAAACATACACTCTAGGAAAAGTTTGCAGAAGCTGGAAGCTGGCATTTAATTATGTTCTGACCACCTGGAATTTAAAGGGAAGTACTTTCCAACCACAGACTGAAGTGTGGAACAGTGCTGCAGATGGGACTTGAAGGCCAATGGCTTGCACTTAGTGGGCAGCTTGCACGTCCCTTCTGGAGCATTCTTCATGCAGCTCAACTGAGCAATAAATAGATTAGCCGATGAGTAATAATATACCTTAACATCCTCTAAGAAAACACAGAGGGGACTTACTCTGCTTTAACTGAAATTGGTGGATCAGCCGCAGGGAGCCAAATTCTGCTAGTGCTATTTTTAATTAATCAGTCCCATAGTGCCCATGCATGCTTTGCAGCCTCACTTATTCTAGAAAAGGCTCCTCACAAGGAAGGCTCACAGAAAGCACTTGTAACTTCTTGCTCAGCAACTGTTAGTTCATTCACCCACTATGTTATTTGCCCTTAAATCCCTCTCTGCAGTGACAGGAAAGTGACAGGACGCAGCCGGTGGGGTTATCGCCTGTATATTCCTTTGCCTTGGCATCACCCACTAAGAGGATGTTTTTGCAGACTTGAACCAGCCGATTAGCTTTCTGAGACTGGTCGCTCTCTTTCCCAAGCCTTCCGTCACGCTTCCTTCTTTGGAGACATCAAGGAGCAACACGCGTCGGTCAACTGAAGTAGGACATTCCAGAAACATGCGGAAGACCTCATTTTAAAGCCTATGCGGGCTGACTCACTGAAGTCAGTCAATCCCAGAGTTAATGACTTTAGAAAAGCCACTTGCTGATGCTGCTCCGGACTTTGGTGTTGACCCTCGCAGCACAAACAGCAAGCAGTGGGACGTGCTCCCCCCTTGCGCCCCAGCCCCTCCACAGCCAAGCGCACCCAGCCCATCCCGGGCTGGGCTTCCTTCCCCTCATAGACACCAGGAACCCCATTTTTCAGGGGTGGAAATGGGAAGGCACAGCAGCCTGGGAAAAGCCAGACGGGACCGCAGCGGGACACGGCACCCGGGGCTCCAGCAGCCCGAGGTGCCCCCCGGCCACTCCCTGCCCCCGAGGTGGAGCTCGCCCATCTTTTAGCGGTGTGCGGGGGGCAGCACAGGTGCAGA